GGAAGCCGCTGCTCTGGACTGAGCTGCTGCACTAGGCTCTAGTAGAGTCACTCATACCAAATGTCACATGATCAAATGGAATGTTAAGAAAGCAGCTACATTCCAAGACAGACCATTATTCCTAAAAATGGGAGATTCCAGTCTACCTGAATCAACATGAAAAGAAAGTCCTCTCTGCTTTTAACCCCTACAAAAGGAAGTATGAGGTAATTTGATGTTACCGGGTCCACTTTTTTTTAATGGTGTTTCCTTGTTCCCTGACAACACTCACTGCTCTGTCGTTGCCCAGTGGGACTTCTCCCTCTATTTCACAGAACGGAGGTGGCCTCAGTTAGCAGATCACAAATAAAAGCCAGTAAGACCTCAAACTACGTGAGCTGTTATTTTGTCTCCTGACACCCCCAAGGAAGCCAGTGCACGGCCTTGAGGATCCACCTTGGCAATGATGACCTCCTTCCGCAGGATCTTCATGGCGTAGTAGCGGCCAGTAGCCTTCTCCCGCACAAGGATGACTTTGCCAAAAGTGCCCTTGCCGAGGAGTTTGAGATAGTCGAAGTCATTCATGGTCTGACGGGAGGGAAAAAGCAGGGGCAGTCAAGGACCTGGCAATCGGCCATGGAAGGAAATCCTTTAATAAGGAAAGGGGAAAGACACCACTGCAGGAGTAGGGAGGGAGCTCTGTGCAGCAGCTCTGTTCTGAAGGGGCTATGGCCAGGCACTCCCAGGCACAAGCTATGCGGGGCAGGCGTGGAGCTCCGAATGGGGCCGCCTGGTCTTTACAACCCCCCAGGACGAGTCCGTGGCAGCTCTGTCCATGGCTTCCCCTCACCCCAGGGCCAGAGCAGCCCTGTACCATCCATAACTTGGAACCACCCCATCTTGCACAGCATCTGTGAAGTCTCTCCAGAGACCCCTGAACATCTGCATGAAAACCAAGGAAATGGCTGGGGGTTGGTCAGCCCACCCCAGGCCGCCTGCCCCCAGCGCGTACCACTTTGGCCCGTGCTTTGCTGACAGCCACTTCCATCTCCTCGGCTGTGGAAGAGTCGCTGGGGGAACCACACTTGTAGTCCATGGGGTCCTCACCAGGGCCCCGCTGCTTGAGGCTGTTGGCGACCATTTGGATGGCCCGCATCCACTCCTCCCTATATGGGGACACACAAGTCTTGGACCGTGACTGGGAAAGCAGACGGCTACCTCCCAGCCCAGCCTCCAATGGGTGAGCAGATGGGCAAACCTCTTTGGAGGCTTTGGAGAGATCTATCTAAGACAGGCTGAGCTGACAGGATCCGAATGAAACTTCACAGACCTCTGATTGTGGCAGGTGGGAGAGTCAAGAGTGGAATAAAAGAGAGGTCACCCATCGCCCAGGAGTGGCCTGGCCTGAGGGTCCTGTGCAGACAGGCAACACTGAAATGATCAAAGTGGGCTGACTACATTTGTTCACAGCCTCTTGAAAAGAAGCCACTAACTTGAACCCTGAATGAGGGAGCCCGTGCTCCTGAGCTGCTCGGAACACACGAGCAGCGCAGGTTTACAGGTCACAACTGTTTTGTGAAGCAAAACCAAGAGTAAATTAAGCACTCAAGCACCAAAGCAGCTAAAGAGTTCACAGGGAGAGCTGGCCAGCAGAACTCCCTGGAGGGACCGGCTGCTGAGGTGGAGTGTGGGGGCTGCAAGGCAGGGACAGAAAGAGATGGAGGAGAAGTGGTCTCAGCAGAAAGGACCTGGTTTGAAAACAATAAATTAGCTTTGTCACTCATGATTTAGTTGTTGGGAGCAAATTTTCTTTTGATACTTGCAAACTGTTTTTTGTCTAATTAGTGGAAATGACCACAGACCAAAAAGAAAAAAATATTAGGCTGAATGACACTCAATTGTTCACATCCCCCCATTTCTGACTCACCACATAGCAATTTCTAGTGGTTCAACCTAACATATTTTGAACCCCCATGTATTACGCTCATGTCTAGAAATCAGCCATGTGACCAGCGGGAAATAGAAAATGTTCACTAAGAATGAGACAATTCAGAGTAAGCAGGCAGCCTCCCAAATTCCGAAAACTGAAAGAAGCCACGGTGTGTGCAGCCAGTGCTGGCAGAAAGCCACCAAGAACCAAGAGCGGCCGAGTTCTTCATGCACACGCATCCTCTAGCTGCCCTCCACCAGCCTCTGTCCCACGGCATCAAGCAGGGCCACTTCCATACCTATCAGCCCAGCAATGCATTTCCCACGTTTTGACACTGCTGGAACACAGAAGTGTCTTACAGTGGCAGCCCCTCTCCACTAAATTGGGCACTGCTATTTTTTGGTGTTATGAACACTCGGAGAGCACTCACTGTTATGCACCACCCTCTCCTCCTGTCTTTCAAAGGAGGAAACTAAGGCACAGATTAAAAAATCAAAAGTAAGAAAAACATGGCAGCTGCTCCAAGCCTGGCCGCTGGACTCCCACTGGACTTGAGGCCCTCCCCAGGGACAATGGGCAAGACAGTTCTTGCCCAGATCTGTGGCTTACTGAAGCAAGCTGGAACTGAGCTCAGAGATGCCCGTTAGTGCACAGGAGGCTCTTCCTCCTCAAACTGGCTTCACTCCCCTGAGACCATGCTTTGTAAGATGAAGGTGAGTATCCACCATATCATGTTTTGAAACAGATACACAAACATCAAGTGTTGGCACATGGCCCCTTCCCACCCAAGAAAAGTCTGGGGTCCCCATAACCCATATATGTCAACCCCATGAGGAGCTTTGAGTGTGGTATGCCTCCTGTACCTATACAGGTATTCAGTAGGTATCTAAGTAATGAACAAGCAAGGCAGCCAAAGTCTGAGTGGCCCCAGGGCCTATGCACAGCAAGGCCACTGCACAGCCAGGCAGAGTGGGGTTGGCCTCTTCCCTCCCTGACCCAGCACTTCTAGCCAGCATTTCTCAATTGGTTTTAACCCATGCTCCCTTTGGAACAAGTCACAGCCTAAAGCCCAATGCCTATATTAATTTCCCTGTTTTCCAAAAAAAAAAAAAAAAAGGGAAAGAGTAGGGACACATCCTATGATATGCCTTGTCAATCACAGCTGTCATAGAAATTTTAAAATGGTAGATAAAAATCAAAGTCACACAGGCAGGCACAGTGGGGCACACCTGTAATTCCAGTGACTCAAGAGACTGAGACAAGGAGGATCACAAGTTCAAACCAGCCTTGGCAACTCAGTGAGTCTCAAAATAAAAATAAAAAAGGCTGGGAAGGTGGCTCATTGGTGCAGAACCCTAGGTTCAAGCCCAGACTGCAGAAAGAAAATCACAGATCTCCTAAAGGATATGAACAGTGTAATCATACATACAACCTCATGGAAAGAAATTTTGAGATTGTGAAAAAAGCTGGCTACAGATTAAGACCCACAGTGTGATATCAGCTTTCTGACAAAGAGAGGGATGGAATGAACACAGCACCCCAGAAGCAACTCTGAGCCTGGCAGATCAGCTGTATGGGTGTCCCATCCTTTCCAGCCTCATCCCCGCCTCAGCACGGCAACTGCTGAAGCAGGGCAGACTGCTGTGTGGAGAGCAGCAGGCCCAGGGCCTGGTCCAGGAAGCACCAGCCTCAGGGAAGGTGTGAAGGCAAGGTGTGGGGCCAAACCGATCCACCAAGGATGAAGGAGGTCGATGCGGGTAACTGAGGCCCTCCCCAACGCTGACCAGCTGCCGGTCCAGTTCCAACTGGACTGAGGTTACAAGCTTGCAGCACTCAGAATTCCAGAGAAAAAGTAAAAGCCTCTGTCCAGGACACTCCTCAAAGGTTTCAACACAGTGTCTGGGGTAGAGGGGAGCTTCTACCCAAAGCTAGGGCTAAAAGGAGAGCTCTTAAGGAAACCAACCCCCTCCCTGGTTAAGATCACAACTAGGAAAATAACAGCAGTGAGTGTGCAGCTCCACAGCCACAACCTCAAGAGCATGGGAAGGAAGGGTTCTGACATGGAGATGGAGGCACAGAGAGGTAGATCACCTGTGGAGGTTGCACAGCTGGAGACAGCAGAGCTGGGACTCAGTGCCAGGCAACCCATTCTTCCCTAGTCCCCACTGCCTTTCCCTGTGCTGGGGGTGTGAGTGACAGGCTTGAGAGAAGCTGAGGAAAGCTCCAGCCTTACTTCCTAGAAGAGGTCCAGGAGAATCAAGCAAAGATACTCTCGGGCAGGTCCACGGACCAAGGGACATCATACCAAGGGACCTCGAAGCCAAGCAAACTGATGCCTCCCCTTGGAAGCTGTGAGGTAGACCACATTCCAGAGGAGGCCTCTCCCACTGGACACCACCCCCAAACATCCTCCACACAGGCAGCCACCATGGTGCTGTGACAAGTAACACCTTTAACCCTCCCAATGACCAAGGCAGCAGAAACTGTGATCCACGTCATGCTACAAATAGGGAAACTGAGGCACAGGGAGGCTGATGTTTGCCCATTTACACAGCCAGTAAGCAGAGGCCTGGGAACACTGACCCAGGCATTCCTTCTTCACCCAGGAGCACTTCTCCCATCAGGGATATCTTCCAGAACCTTCTCATCCTCACTTGGGTTTCAGGGCCAGGAATATATGGGGAGCTACATTTGCTCAAGCAGCACTAGGGAGGGTGTCCTGTGTACAGCATAGGAGCAGCACTGGGCAGCTGGGAGCCAAGCCTTGAACCCATGTGGCCCTCACTGGCCCAACCTCTCCAGTTGTTGTCTGTCTCCCACATAAAGCACGGGTCACACAGTAGCTAAAAGCAGACTCTAGTGCTGACGGCCTGGGTTCAAACTAGCTCTGCCTCTTCCTTCAGGAGATGCTGGTCAGGTCATCTAACATTCATCAGCGAGCTGATCTGTAAAGCAAGCACTAGTGGTTCACACAGGGGAGATGTGAGCTGCTGGACACGAAGCACAGAGGAAGTGACTCAATGGATTGTTGTGAGGATTCACCTTGCCAGCCAGTCAATGTTTACCAAATGCCTCCTACAAGCCAGGCCTTGTTTGGGTGCTGAGGATGCAGCAGGAAACAGCTCACTAGAGTTCCTAGTCTAACGGGGGAAGACAACTGTGTAAAAATACAGCAGTTTGGCTGGGGTTATGGATCAGTGGTACAGCATTTGCCAAACATGTATAAGGAACTGGATTTGATTCTCAGCACCACATATGAATAAATGAATAAAATAAAGGTCCATCAACATCTTAAATTAAATTGCACATTCTTCTTCTGGGTGTGATGGTGCATGCCTGTAATCCAAGTGGCTTGGGAGGCTGACAGGAGGATTTCGAGTTCAAAGCCAGCCTCAGCAATGGCTAGGCACTAAGCAACTCAATGAGAACCTGTCTCTAAACAAAACACAAAATAGGGCTGGGGACGTGTCTCAGGGATCAAGTGCCCTTGAGTACAATCTAAAGGACAAAAAAAAAAAATTTAAAAATTGCATGTCCTTCTGAGTATTGTGATGAACTCTCAGGTTATATCCCACCTAGCAGGACATGAATCATCTCTGTCCAATGTATCCATGCTGTACATGTTACCCACTGGTATGTCACTTAGTAGCCTCTTGGCTACTACAGATCAAATGTAGCAGTACCAAAGTATTTGTGTTCAAGTAAGCCTTCTGGAGTGCTCTAACACATCACCACAATGCCTAGGTCAATCACTTCATTTTATTTCATCATGTAGGCACTGGGTCATCCTCCAATATCATCATGAGAAGAAGGGTGAGTACAGTAGTACAATAAGATATTTTGATTGGGCTGGGATTGTGGCTCAGCGGTAGAGCGCTCGCCTAGCACAGGCAAGACCTGGGTTCGATCCTCAGCACCACATAAAAATAAAGGCGTTGTGTTATGTCCATCTACACCTAAAAGATAAATATTAAAAAAAAAAAAGATATTTTGAGAGAGAGACCATATTCACATAACTTAATTTTGGCACAACAGATTGAACCCAGGGGTACTTAACCACTGAGCAATACCCCCAGCCCTTTTATTTTGAGACGGTGCCTCGCTAAGTTGCTTAACAGCCTCCCTAAGTTACTAAGGCTGCCTCTGAACTTGCTATCCTCCTGCCTCAGCCTCCTGAGCTGCTGGGATTACAGGCATGTGCTATCACACTTTTATAACATAATGTAACTTTTATGA